TTTCAAACACCCACGGGTTTTCAAAGTTTCCACCTGCGCGTAGCCTTGTTTTGTGAGGTATTTTGCCTGGGAATTGCTCATTACCGCTGCCCGCAGCATCTCTCCTGTCCTCCAGCTATTTTTTTCAGTTTCTGTGCCCTACTCTATTCTCTCTTTCTCTTTTTAGGTCAGTTGTCACAAATCATCGGTAAACAATTTATGTCTCTTCCTTAGCGCTGCGAGGAAGACATTCTCCATCATCTCCAATCACCCCACAATTTTCTTTCATTTTTTTCAGTTTTTCGTCTCCTGCACATCCCGCGTGGCAAATTAACCTGCAAAAAGGGCAATCTCTCGCCCAAATTGCACTCTTGTGAATTATTGGTTTCCTCCCTTAATCTCACGAAGTTCATTTGTACAAACAGGAGACGGTCATGGTCGACGGTTGGCCCGGAGAGCCTCCTGTCAAACCTCGTTAAATCTCGTTTAAACCCGTTCATTATACCTCTTCTTCCTTCCCTCGGCTGACGCTGCCTGGCCAATATTTGGACGCGGTTGAAAATCTAATCCAATTACCGACATATTCCCCGCGCAAAGCGTGCGCTCGTTTATTTGGCCACGGTGTGTCATTTGAGTCTTATTTGTGGCATTTGATTTACAAAAAAAAAAACAAAAAAAAAACGAGAATTACATGTAACAACCGCAATACAGCTTGATCAGAAATCCATCTCTGTCGTGTGCCCTATCTTGTTTTCTATATGCGACTTTTCTCAGCGTAAGGATTACATTAGGCTTACCCGTAATCATACATGAAGTGTTTGTTGAGGAGGAACTGTGGTGTTTCGCCTGATAACTCGTCCGTCGTGCACATTCAAACCAGCTACTGTAGTCATATACATTTCCATGGCGCAGCTAGGGTTCTTGGTGAAGGGTTCTTGATGAAACGTCATTTTCTAGACTGGCAAGATATAATTATGTGCATCCTCGGCAGAGGGGTGCCCGGCCATTTTCAAACATTGAAACGTTTGTACCGCTGTGTGACAAAGGCACTTTCACAACTGATTTTAGAAAAACAAAAAAATTAGCTCGCAGTGCGTAAAAAAGCAGTTTTACATACAGTTTGCCAAATAGCTGCCTGTCATGCATGGTTTAAGTAGGCAATGGAACTATAAAACGCACATTTTTGATACCTTTCTTAGTTTTCGTCGGTAGGCATTTTCCGCCAAGATGACGTCATTGTTTTGCTCATGTATGTCAAAATTCACATGATTATGAAGAAATCCCAATGCGTACCTATATTGTCGACATTGAAATTTAAGGGTCAACAGGACACATGGGTGTTGTTGGTGTATTCTACTGGGGGAAGTCTTTGATATCAGTTCTTTAAAACAGAGCTACCGTGTAGTCACTGTCACATTTTTACTTTAAACTCCCACGGGCAGACAATCATGCGGAATATATCTGCAGTTTTCCAATTACTAACGGGTAGGTTCGTACTCCGCGAGTGTCTGCTAAGTACCCATCTCGACGGTACCAATTTTCATTTAACAAGCGGAGAGTTCTAATTGGCAATTCACGCACCTGCCGGAACCAAGGGTAGCGGGCTAGCCTTGGCACAATTAGCCGGCCAGCCCCCTGCTGACCGAAGACTCCAAAAGGCCGTTGAATGGTACTCGAAAACTCGACTTCATTTCTGCCTTTGAAATTCTCAAGGGACACTCTACGTGCATCCTGTTTCCTTGATCACATCTTTTTCCTTTGGGTCCCTGTGTGCTCCATTTTGGCGAAGTTTTTGGAAAGTCCTCTGGTTACAAGCAGAGACGAAACTGAACGAGAGCGTGCACTCAACAGTGACCATTATTATCGTCATTTAACACGGTTGGGAAATTATACCCCCCTTCAAAATGAAATTCTGCGGATGGACTACAGGTGAGCCACCGTTACGGAATCGGCTCTTTTCCCGTTCTTGCGGTGGCTAGTATTTCCAACTACATTCGCTCGTTAGTGTTAGTGTGATGCGAGTTCCATTACCTTGTATTGCTGTTGATTGGTGTCATGACATCCCCACCTGAGATTTCGTCTTTCTCTAAAGACTTGACAGTCGGAGACTCGCACCTGAAAATACTTAAATATGAATATTTTCCAACGTAGGTGCCATCTGTAATAGCATGCAAAATAAACTTGAAACATTTTTAATTGAACGTGGTTCCTAATCATTCGTGCAAAGCACGGGTAGCTCGCCTTTGTTCCATGTCTTTCAGGGCACGATGCCATTGTGAGTCACCTTGGCCCTCTTCAACGACAGAGGACATTTTTTTCTATGGTTGAAGTCTTTAGTTGGAAATTGCGCGGTAAACCCAACTTGAAATTATAGCCCACAAGGGCTTCAAGATTTAAGGTGTTTTTTCCGTGTGCCTTTGTTACACACATTTTTCTGAGCCCAGGAGCAGAAAGATACGAACGGTGTTTGTAACAGGTACTTTTCAGCAGCGATGGCTGTTTAAAATGGGCCTATCTGTGCTTAGACAAGAGGAGAGTGTTGTTCTTTGTAAACCAAAGGAAGCGCAATGATATGTACATATACTGTACTCGGCGCGTTCCTTTAAGCAATGTGACCTGGGAATACTGGCGTAATAGCAAATAGTCCCACTGGGGAATACTTCCTCAAAATCTGGAAATTCAAGTTTATGGGGACTGTTCTCCTCGGAAAATACGGCAGCGCTTGGACTCGAGTGGTCAGTCTTAGTCTTAATGCACGATACTCTGCTCCAGGAGACAAAACTGGATACTCTCTCTGCAGATCTTAGATGACTGAAAAAGACAAAAAGCAATCATACGGGTTTAAGCCGAAATGCCATTCGACGCTGCAAGGCAAAGAGCATGCTTGCAATCCCAAACATCCTGGTTTGAAATTAATGCCCCCTGGGAGTGTAACATTTGAATGAGACCTCTCTTCGCCGTTGAAAAGACGCATTTTGCACTTGCCAATTTCCAATACTGCCGAATTGACTTGGATTTTCGAGAACATTCGCATTCCTACTGCATTGTCCCCTACAATGGCCAACATGGCCGACACTAGTGAGCAAATTCAAAATGGAACATATTGTCATCAGCCGGTAGAGAGGAATCGGAATAAGAAATGGCAGACAAAGCTAATTGAATATGAGATATTAGGCTTCTTTGGGGTCCAAGTTTTGAAAGGCTACACGACGTTCCGTAAGAGCTATTTGACCAGTCTCCATTTTACCCTGTTTGAATAAGACAGAATGGCCACTCAACGATAAAATATTGAATGGTATTGCCGGTCCCCACTTTAAGAACCATCGAACATTTTTCCTGCAAAATTAGTCTCCGTCGCAGTCGAAGGACAGCATTGAGTTCATGGTCACATATGAGCCAGTGACGGAATGAATCTACTGCAAGCGCTAGACCTGCCTTCTCGAATCAATGCTCTTCTTGCAGGGCGTCCGGTCAAGGTGAAACAACACGCCGAGCCAATCAATAATACATGAATTTTAGAGAGTAATTGCGCAGCCGTCAATGCCATTTAAGCGTCAGCGACTGCGACATGCTCTTCAGGTTGGATTGATTCATTGTCTCGAGAGCACGCAAAATGTTGTTTACTTCGGGATTTTTAAAGTAATGCACACGGACACGCATAGGGCACGTGACGCCCTTGCTAGCTGTGCAGAAAGAATCATTGAGTGATTCAAAGCTGACTTCTAAAAATCGATATCACTCGTATTTTGTACTAACATCACTTGGCCGGATGGAAAAAATTGCTTGTTGAGAAATCAAAGCGGCTGTCATCATTATTAATTACCAAACACGCTCAGTGGAGCTTTGCAGATCAAACGTTTGGCATGTTTTACGGTAATTTTAAGTTTTAAGTCAACAATGTCAGGCGGAAATGTCTGTCTGTGCAAGTGCCGTGTCGATTAAATTGGAATCATCCATGCCGGCGTAAGGTTAGTTATCACTGGCAATGTCAAGCAGCAGGATTCGACCAAACCAAACGCATTTGCTTCCTAAAGAACACTAACGATGTAGTTTATACTTTTTGTGATGGAAAGGGGCCATACTAAGAAACGACGATCTCGTGCGCACAGGAAAAATTACGGTTTTGTAATCTTTTTACAGAGCGCTAAAAATTCCACCTAAATTAGAAACTAATAGCGAAAACGATTTAATGGCATTTTTTCGTGAAAACCTAACAAAGTCAGAAAACCTGAGAGAAAATGATTATCGAAGTCGCACCCCTGTACATTTTCAATGGCCCGCTCACACTTCTTGCCGCCAAGGCCATTTGTGCGCATGCGCGCATAATTATGAATTTATTAGTGAAGAGGTCTATTTCGCAGCGCGCGTAATGGCTTGAGCTTCAATTTCATAAAAGTTAATCTGTACTGAATCAGCTGTTCTGAAGCTTTCCCCAAATTGGACATTCAAACAAAGACTTCAAAGCTGACAACCGTGCTATTAAGACCCCTTTCTTGTAAACCCCGGACTTACTTCAGTCCGTCGTCTCCAGTCAAAACAGGTGGGAGATGGTGCAAGATGATATAACACATTAATATTGGATCATGCCGGTGAAGGGCAAACTCCTTTTTTCGTGGCTCTCAGGAAGCCCCAAAACTTGGGAGAGGACCTCTTTTGAACGTTATTTTCTATTTAATTCTCTCCTTTCTAGCGTCCACTGAGAGATGATCAAAACCTCCTTTTTTGAGAAATGGTCTATTCAAAATGGATTTGTGTGTTTGATGTTACCCGATTGGTCTTTAAAAACGCTAATTCTTCAATTGGTTAAAACAAGGACCTTTCACGCGGAGACGCGTTAAATGACAATACATGTATAGCTCTCTCAACGCCCTACCTGACTGTACGTGCTCCTATTGGGTGGTTGCTCTTCCGTATTCATAAGCGTCTGACGTCGGCCCATTTCCAGCCAATCAGGGTGCGGGCTGTGCCTGCGATAAAACAGTGCACGGTTTCCTGTGAGCGATCATTCCGTGCATGAAACGGGGGCGCTAGGTTGGACTTTCGCCGGAGACATCAACTAGACCGTGTCGATATAAGTTCGGACTGACTTCTGTCTCGATTGCACGTACCGATATGCTGTGACAGAAAGTCGTCGTAAGACTCTTTGCATGCCATTGATCGCGGGCGTTGAATTATCGCTGGATAATTTGAAATTCGGGATTATGCTTGGTGGTTTTGATGTTATTACATTCAGCCAGGCAATCATACCATCGTAATTCATTTTTCCACTGTAGGACCTGAACGTTTTGGAGAAAAAAAAAAACAAAAACAGGAGCATGGTAAACGATTTACAGCTGAATCTATATAAAGCGGGCATCTCACACATCATCAATACAATTGTAGTCCTGCGTTTATAATGCTCGTATCCGCCCTGTTTGCTGTCGATATTAAGCGATGACCGCCTATCAAAGGAGCCTCGCAGGGACGACCGGCGGAGGTCTGGCCGGTGTGACGGATCTTGCGCCGGCTGAGGACACGGAGCAACCGATCTGCGAGTTTTTTTTTAACCTAACCTCACCGGAGGAGGTGGAGTATTTCACCTACAGCCAGGGAGACGTCCTGTACTTGACAGTGTTCCTCCCCATCATACTGGTAGTAGGTGTCCTGGACAACGCTGCCTTCATGTACGTTGTGCTCCGGCTCCCCCGCATGCGGACCGTGACCAACTGCTACCTGGTGGGTCTGTCCGTGGCCGACATTATTTTCCTGGTCTTCGCCATCGGGAGTAAGCTCTTGTGTTACGTCAAGTCGCCTATCTCCGGGGACGACAACCCGCTGGGTCTCGCAGGCTGCCAGCTCAACCAGTTCATGGTTAACACCTCCTATTTTGCCTCCCTGTGCTTCATCACCCTGGTGTCGTGGGAGAGGTTCAACGGCGTGTGCCGGCCCCACCGACGGCGGGACACAAAGGTAAGGGTTGCCGCTAACGTGGCCGCCTCCACGGTGTTGTCCGGTATCGTGTCCGCCTCGCTGCTGTTCAGCTTTGATAGTGTGACGATCGAGTGTATCGACTGGCCCTCGAGTCCCCTATACGCCAGGTGGCCCGATGAGCGATTGCTCTGTATTTCGGCAAATGACTGGGCCGATAAGTACTCCTTCGCGGCCCAAACGGCCCCGTTCTTCATCTCCCTTGTTGCCAACACGCTGCTTTACTTTAAAATCATCCAGGGCTTGGACCAGTCCCTCCGACGGACGCAGCAATCCAACCACCGGAAGAGTAGAGACGCTTCCACGCGCAACCAGGTGGCTCGGATGCTGGTCATCAACGGCGTGGCGCTCTTTGCCCTGCTGGCCCCCTTCGAGATCATGTCCCTCTTCCGCCTGATCGCAATGTTCCGTGACGATCAGTTTATCCTCCCGTACGATGTGCGGCAGAGCCTGACCTACGTCGCCCGGGTGGCCTCCTACTTCAACTCTATCGTCAACCCCGTCATTTACACGGTGCTGAGCAGCCGGTACCGGGAGGCCTTCCAGATTGCCTTCCTGCCTGCCAGGTGCCGCCCGAGGCACAAGGCCAGCGACAACTCCCACCCGGGCAGCACTGGACGCAGTGGGACTATGACGACGAAAGCCGAATCCCGCATGTGAACCACGCTGGCGGCGGTCGATGGCACGTTGAACGTCACTCAACTCTCCTGACGTGCTGTCATTCGTGTTGGTAACGTTAAGTTAGACGCTTTCTTGTACCTTTAAAACATCCTTCAACTTCTTGCCTTTAAATGAAGTACGTGTGTATAACCCAGTACGATAATGTACCGTAAAGTGTAATCGTGGTAGCAAAACTGTGGTAATTTCTAGCTTACACATTATGCAGTTGTCTATTTAAATTGGTTTTTAAGATTATTTTTATGGAAACAATTAATTTTTTCCTAACTGACTTGACTTCCTTATTAGAGTTCCTCTGTAGTCTGTTGTCAGCAATGTAACCTAAGGAGCACCTTTCAATTGTCTTGTACCAAACGCCAATCTGGGCGGATCAACACAAACTTGTCACGAAAACTGTACAAATGTAAACGAGATCTAACAAAATCTGGCGCGAATTCCGAGCACGCAATTTATTAATATTTCCCGGTAATTTGGAAGGAACGTACGAACCAATAATTGTCCCGATAAAAATCCTGAAATTTTCCTAGCACCCATTTCGAAATCCAAAACAAACAATATCTGGTACACGGGGAAGCTACCCTGAGACCGCCAGTTTAGAATATTATAATTAAATTCATTCAGTAAAAAAAAAAAAAGAAGTCAGTCAATCGTGGTATTCGATTTTAAACCTGTGAAATTCAATTCACGGCTTCAATGAGAGTGGCACCGGCTGTTATTCTGATTTAAAGAAAAACACAGGTGGTTTGTTGTCATATAGAAATAAATGCTGCACAAACGTATACATTATCATTCAGAATAAGAACGTCCTTGTATCAGTCTAGCCATCCTTCACTTCTACTCAGCTTTTGCCACTTGAGAAGAGAACATCAAGTGATCGTCCATTAGCAAAAGGACGAGTGAAATCCTTCATCGATTACCGTCTCATTTTAGCAGCGGCGATACAACTGTCGTCTCTCTTACCTTGGTGCACTACGTATACCGTCGCGTCTACGGCACAATGTTACCCGACTGTGGCAATATTAAACGCCAATGATAAACCACCTTAGTTCGCTCACCCGAACCCCCATACACGGTTGACAGACGCTTTTTCTCCAGAATGCTGGTAAATATTTGCCTATCGCTCTGTAGGCCCAGCCCTTGCAGTCCCGATATCATTATCTGATATGTCGGAGCGAGAGGCATTCATTACGGGCATTTAGATCAGTGACAATGTTACACGAGAGAAGACATGTTGTGAGAAAATCGACTTCATTTCCAACTACTCTAACACAGACGATATTTCTGTCACGCTGCGGCAACCACTCATTCCAGGCTGCACGACTAGCTGATTTTAGCGTGGCAAATGTGGTGGACTCTTACAGCCCCCCTCCCACTGGGTTAAAGGTTAATCGGACATCCAAACAGAGACCTGACCGACCGTTGTTGTGTTTCGGTTTCAAAATTCCGAAATGCATTTGGATAAAGACGCAAGAATTGTTCTTAGGTCAGAGCGGCATTGAGCCCCTTCAAAACCCCAATGTTTTCCTCAGAATTTAGTCGCTTGATCTCATCAATTGGACGGTTAGCTCAGCCTTTTCGACGGCTTGTTCGTCAATTACTTATTCACGTAGGTTCCGTTACTGCTCCGCGAATGTCGGAATCTCCACAGAGCTGAGCAAGGACCGCTTTCTCTCGCAGGTAGTTGTCATTTGAGCTGGTTTCATGTTCATTTGTCAATTTCATGTGTGCTGCATGAAGTAAAGCTTCTTTCAAACTCGAGAGTAGACAGATACTCGTCAAATATGTGCTATATTCAGTTCAATGACATGTCCAGGGTTTGCAGCTGACTAGAGCTGACACAGATAATATCTCACAGTGACTCATAGATGTGAAATTGTTTTAAAGGCCAGGATACTGTCTTGATGTTCGCTTTCACGGTTAAAACCTGTGGCCATAAAAACAGTCTGGAATAAAGTGTTGTCTGGCATTTGATGACACTTTCCGTGCGCGGGTGGTAAACACGCGTCTTATGCCTCTTCATGATAGCTTGCAGCCACTTGCAGACTGGCGCACTTTCAATTTTACGCACGTGTGAGAGTGTAATGTCACCACAGTAATGGATTCTCTGTGGATTAATCTAAAGGCTTGTTTATGTCTGTTTTCGTAGGGATTTACCATCTAATAGTTTAAAAGTCCTTGTGGGGCTGAATCCCTCGAGCCCTGTGGGTGGACCACTTATTCAGTCACGCAGGGAACATTCAACAAAGCAAGGCTTCACCTCGGCAAAATTTTTTGACACTCAACTCCGTAGCCGTATTTGTGATGCACGCTCATCTTATCGACGTGCATCACAAGCTTTCTTTCCCTTGTGGAAAACTGTACGCAGCTCCAAGTGTCTTGCAGCTTAATGGCACGATTCACTGAAGGATGCAGAATGCGCTCAGAGTCAAAAGGACAGTAAAGGTGAACCGAAGAAAAGAAAAGGTGAAAAGAAATCTGTTTTTTTCTCTTTGCGTGAAACCTACATTACGATGGAACGTGTCCCTTTAACCTCACGCGTGATTTTAAGACTACCGCCAATTAGTCTGGGGCCCCGTGGGCGAGAAGACAATATCGCATCGCCGATTTCAAGAAAGGTCTGAAAGAATCGGCAGCGGCTTTTGGTTGGGTTAAAGCCTCCCTCTGGGGCCTGTATGACTGCAGTAAACGGAAAACATTGCCGAAGCGGAACTGTCTGCCTTGCTTACGACTGATATGCATTCCGGGTAATTTGAGATTCCACAACTTTCCCTGATGAGAAAATGTTAAACGTTTGAACGGAAACGGTCGGCATGAATACCGCGAAATTGGATGAGATCCTTTGGCGCATGGCGTCGGCCGCCAATTCCGCACGGGTTATCGTATACCTGTGTCTGAAGTCCCACCAGAGATGAAGAGATCTGTGGAAAGTAATACCCTATATCAAATCCGGACACATTTCTTTATACTTCTCGCACTGCCAGCCAAAGTCGACCCGCGAGTCAAGCCAGAGTCGACACAAGGCCTACTGGGAGTTCGACCCAGATCGAACAAAACCTAATTCATCTCCAACAACTTGGAACAAACCCAGTACCGTGTGTGCAGGCTGAACGTTGATGTAGACTGAGGGTGAAAACACACTGCAGATCAGTTTAACACTGATGTAAACTGTCACTGTTGCGCCTCCCCTGCGTTTACAGCACATATTGCGTCCAGCCGCCAAAAGGGTAAATTGTTTCTGTGTACCCGTCTTTAGGATTGCAGTGGGTATTTACGGAGTGAAAGTGCGGGAAGACAGGTGGAAAGTGGTGAGATTGCTCGCTCTCAGTAATTTTTGACGATTTCTGAAAATTTCTCTCCCAAGTTAGAATTACTGAAAGATTAATTAGAGATTAATTGTCGGACATATTTGAGGCCTTTAGGATTAAAATGTAGCATTATAACGTTATCCCCCTCCTTCTAGCGCTAATTCGTTCGGATGTAGGGCGCCGCTCTGAAAGGCTTCTCACCATAGCAACTGCAAGCGGGTCGATTCTTGCCGATGATGCCTTTTAACGGCCATTATCCGGCCAGTAGCTTGTGGAAGGAACACTCCCCCCCCTTCCGCCAGCCTTTTAAGTTTTATAACCCGAAATGGCAAACGGGGTTTTGTAATTTTGCCCACTGGCGTGCCCGCCGCGTGTTCACCTGCTCCGGTCCGTGCTTCGCCACTCGCAATTTCGCGGCCCGCTCCTTTCCTTGGATTTCCATTTCCTTAAGAAAAAAAAAACTCATGAGCGGCCACATTGTGTCAGTCGGTCGACCTAAACGTGATGTGTCGGCTGGGCAGTGAATATTCTGCAAGGCTGTTCTAATTATCTGAAATCAAATCAATTTCCCTGTTGCCCTGTTTCTCAACCTGCGACCTACATTGCAGTGAGGTGTCGACTATTTCATGTAATACTATCGTGTCTGTCTCGTCCATTGGTGCGTTTCTTGGCAGGCATTCCGAGTTCCAGTGTGGGGAAAAGGAAAATGTTATTAACAGAGAATCAATCTGCGCCAGGTCGCACTTGACGACCACATGAGTTCGATCTTACAATGATGCGGACGTCAATTTGTCCCCGACGCTTCCAACGGTTAGGCTGACTGTTATTTACCTGCGGTGTTACCACAATGCCAAGGCCGCTCAGCCTTAATTTTAAGAGGAAGGAGGATGGAAATTTCTCCGTGGCAACAGAGTTGGAAATTGCGCGCGTGACAAACAATCTCTGTCGACTTTAATGTACAGCCTTTACATCCAAAGCACGGATAAGAAATTAATCACGTTTTATTTCGCATTTCTCTTAGCAAACCAACTTTTACGAAATAGAGCATATCGAAACCGAGGCTCACTGTGTTGAACTTCGTCGCGCGCGCCCGCCGAGTCGACACAGTACATGCAGTATCCAGTTCGTAACTGTGACGCCACTTCAATTTAAACCACGCCCACTGCACAAGATACACGACCATCGCAGGTACGTTAGTTCGCGGTAACATTGCCGTTATTTTTTCTTTTGATTGTGCATGTCGAGTCATCCTGAAAGACTCTGCCACAAAAATTTGCAGCCTGAAAAGTCTGAATTTAACATACCTTTATGTATTTTGTGTCTTGACTCCTTACTTTCAATCGTCTGATCGAATTAAGCTGACACATACATCCTCGTTTTCAAACGCGGAAATGCGCAGATCGACGCTAAAAGCGTCGAATTGGGATCCCTCAATTACAGTTCTGTAAAGAAAATTCCATGTGAGGCCAGACAACACTGTTAAAAATGTACGTTAGGCCTAAATAACAGTAGATTCAACTGGCATTAAAGAACGTGCTGTTTTGGGACAGCACATTCTACTGTCAATTTTCTCTGTGTACTAATAGAAGATTCTTGTGGAAGTGTAGGACATCTTAAAAGAAAAATTAATCCGTACGTACGGATTATTATTACTTCGTACCTGCGGGTTACTACTTTGTACGTACGGTTTTGTAAATAATTATAGGCACTGGTCGCATTCAAAATTCCATCTTGAGCAGAAGTATCCCCTCATCGGTTGAAAAGAGCCATGTTGGTGGGAAGTGTTGTTTTGTTGGTATAGGGCCGGATGCGCACGCAACGCATGTATCTCATTGTCATTCGGGTACCAGCAAAGTGGAGTTCCTACCACAGGAGCCTCCGTTGCGAGGAAATCGTACCCCTCTCGGTCCCGCTCAGGCCAAGTGAACTGAAGTTTAGTCATGCAATGCAACATACTAATCCGTAAATACCATTTAGCAATCCGTACGTACAGAATAGTTATCCGTACGTACGAATTTCCTTACCACTTTCTGTAAGGCATCGGAGATAATTTTGTTGCATAATGGCTGCTTATATAAGTATATGAATGATTTCATGAGGTCCCAGAGTGTTCTATTTCACGAGGCAAAGCCAAAAGAAATGGAAGATTCAGTCTGCCACCGAATGAGAATCAGTCTTTCCATTGAACAAAAACGAAAGGGAGTATGCAATAGATATTCGGCCTAACTTGATTTCATGTAACATTACAACACAAATAAGCTCTAAATACCTGTTTTCTTTGGAAGTGATTAGTAGCTGTTGATGTTGCTGTTTTTCAATATTTAGAAAGTACTTTTATCAACGTTTGCACGAGGGCGCTATCTTGATTTTGTCTTGCAAGGCACTCCTTGTCAAAGGCGCATCAGAACAATATAGCAATCAATTCTTGTTGTTTTAACATGAAAACCAAGTACAGAATGGAGCCTACCCCAACAAAATGTAATAAAGTGTAAAAATTGTATTGGATACTGTTCTAGCTTGAATGAAAACATACTTTGGCTCATATGGTAAACTTTATCAGCATAAGATTTAAAAAGTTGGAATATCTCCGATTTACTACGAAGTATTTTTGGAAAGGCATTGTGTAAGCTGTGATTCATAAACCCATTACATGATCGCTTTAAGCACTTCATTGTTTATTTTATAACACACGAATAAACCTCTTTAGGAACAACTGTCTCTTTTACTTTCTTAGCTGTATGCCCGTGTGAACATTGTTCAGCATGCAAACATTTCTGAATAGTTGGCACTCTTGGACCTGCTCGATTGCAGGATAACCCACGGAGGTGGCTACCAAAATCGGAAGCAATTTCCGGGGCGTTAACGGCGCTCGTGCGAAGGTCATATACGTCGTGAAAGGCCTGTTGGACTAGCAAGGTCAAGTTCGATCAGTGACCATTTATCGACCACTGGTCGGTTCTCCCTGGTATGCAGTGCTTAAAATGTAGCCTGGGTACCAGATGAAATCGACCAGTGGTTGACTGACTGTCGTTGATAGAACGATTGAACTTGGTCAAAGGTGCTGAAAGTTGTTAAATTGCACGCGCATATCAAACCCACGTGCACCTCAAATGCGCGAGCGTGCAACCATGATTGTGGTGCCGTTGCAGTCTTTATGTCTCCTCGCATACCTTAAAGTCTCGCTTCGAGCTGTGTACGACAGCTGATGCGTAAAAAAATAGTTTCAAGGGAAGTCGTTTTCAGTCTCGTTGTCTGAATTTATATTTTTATGTAATATATTGAATGAATGGTGCAAGACCGTGTGACCTTTTAATGTAGCTGATAGCGTTAAGACACGTTTAATCACAAAAACAAAAAATATTCATTGGTATAAACTGATATTAATTCATAGTGCAATGTAAATTTGCTTCATCTGAATCTCAGCTTCTCTTGAGGTCTATGGTATTTCACCAAACCTCAGCGTAAGAATATTGTCTATGAAATAATCCATTTGATCTTTAAATGCCCTCAACAAATACACGTGCTTTCCGTTAAAAATAAAGGCTATGGTGGCAGTTTATAGGCATAACATACTGGAATTTATGGCTAGCTTGTACAAATTGTTACAAGAGCTTGTAGCTCCCCACGTTGCAAGAATGTTATTCCGAAAGAACGTATCGCTCGGTGATGTTCGAGTGGTATGAGGTTTATCTTGCTGTAATGTTCGCAATGCGCGTCTTGAATCTTGTAGGCACGATGAATTAGTGCTGGCAAGTGTTCAACCTTGCCACCCAAGCGAGAAACGTATGGACTCTATGGGTAGAAACGTGTAGTTTTTTTTATTTCAGTTGACCGTCACTGAACAGGTGAAGTTCCACGGTTGGTTGAGATCTAATTCACGGTCTGTGTTCCAGTATTTCGGTTAACAACGATGCACGTTGGCCAGACTGTATACCGTCATGGACGATCTTAACACGGAATTTGTCGGGTTACTATAGTTACGCCAAATTTCCTCTACGTTTTTTGGGGGAAAATATTTCTGAACCGAAAAGCTGGGAGATTCTCTAAGTCCTCTGCTAACGAGGTGTTTTGTAGGTTTCCAAAAAATTCTGAATTTTTCCGAACCTGTTCTCGTTGGGTTTTTTTTTGAAACCGTCATTCATGTTCTGTGAGTGTTGACAGTGTATCTTCTTTGATTTCTCCCACATGACTCTCGCAGCTTCACAACATTAACACCTTACGGACACTCTCGAGCTGCATTGCAGGCATTATACATTAGTACATCCCTCGTTTCGTCAGGTTCTATGCTGTTCAGTGGTGGCCACTGGACCTACTGTTTGTACACATCAGAATTGTCAGGTCCGAGAGCCAGAGTAGGATGTTATCGCAGATCGATTTTTAGAAAAAAGAAGAGTAACCGGTACCAGCTGGATCTGTGTGAGAGGTTCTCAGAGAATTACTGTAAACAGCCAGGGTGCGCTCTCGCGAATCATGTAGCCTTGCTGTGCACAGGCGCCTTTCACAAGACGCCGTGACGTCCTATGCTGTCCTGTCGTAAAGCTTCTTCGACTAGAAGATTGTTTAGTTTGGCCTCAACCGGAGCACTGCCCGGTACACCATCTGTATTTGCATCTCAACACCGGTTCCATATTTGACGATTTGGAGACGTAAATCGGACTTTGAACGCTCAACTTAAGATAAGAGTGCAGGGCCGGCTGGCGTTATGATAAGCACGCTGCTCGCGTCTGATGTTGACATAATCTCGTTTTCTCTTGAATGTAGGAGTTTGTTTGGCTACTTGGTCAATTTTTATTCTACACTTCTACACTGAACCAGTTTTTAAGTATGGATGAGGCTTGATGACGTTACATGTACTCGATAAGGCGGAAGCACGCGATGAATGACGACGGAGCATGAAGCATTGCGAGGCAGGCTTTACCAGGGCGTAAATTGCGCACGTGCTGGCGCTCAATAACCCCGGCCCTTGCTTCCACAGGCAGAAAATTTCGGAGAACTATTCCCAATTACCCTATCCTCCGTGATGTATTCGCGTTACATTCGGACTACCGTGGGCGGGCATTTTACACTAAGAATGAAAATTGACTGCCAAACACGTGTACTAATGCTTTCGTTGAGCCTATCCACACGATCCGCTCCGTGCTCCGGTTGTAATGCCCGCTTCTGTGTATTGCAGCAGCGTTAGAAACCGATCGGACCGGGACCCATTGTCGAGGCATTTAGGTCAACGTACACCAGACTAACACGTACTTAACTTCAACAACACAGCGTTCTGCGCATGCGATGTCCGATTTTCAATCAGCATGTTACCTTTGGTCTCCAGCGCCCAGGGATCGCTCGCTTTCGTGTAGATCTGGGAATTTCAGCGCCCAGCGACATTGTGCATCGCAGGATGAAAATAGAAAGGACGTTTATTCCTTCTCAGAAGGACTGAGATGGGTTCGCATCATGAACTGCTGCTTGGTTTAGTAATGAAAGGCTTTTTTAATGGATAGTGGAATGGTGAACGTGTTTAATCGGGCCTGCAGTCAGTATCGGAGTGTGTCCGTGGTGTTAATCTCAGCGGAGGCCGTTCCTTGCAATTTTATTGCGAGATTGCTTTCCTCTCATAACTAGTATTGCCCGAGGCTGTAAACGCCTACCGAGGAAACCAAGGAACGGCCTCACGCAGAAGTCGACAGTTCACATTGGTAGCACTGCAAAAGAAATTCCCAAAGTGCATGTTGAGTTCGCACAGGCGTTCACATGTTAATAGACTGATTTGGAACTTGCAATTAAAATTTGGAAGCGAAATGAAAGGGTTCAAACAAAATTAGACATCTGCCACCGGAATCAACACGAACAGGTGCACATTTGTTCGGGCTGCCATCTTTACTCAATATAAGCTTATACGTGTGGGTTACATTAAACATCGCAACCCCACTAGCGTTATCACACTGCGATGGGAGGTTGTGACTTTGTTTGGCCACTTGGAAAACGACAGTAATTCTTTTATTTCTAGAAAGTAATGCACCGATAGCCATCGTACCCTGGAAACAACGTCCCGTTCCTTCCTTCATTTGTTGCATGGAAGATTAGTTTCCACTCAGAGATCCGCACTGGTAAAGAA